AACTAATCAAGAAGCACTTGGATAGTACTGACCTCTACCAGTGCACTCATCTTCTGGCAATGATCAATAGATTATAAATAAAATATTACATTGTACAACTACAATTCACTATTACAACTCACAACTTTAACTAATATTATACTATAAATTGATTCCTCAAACTTATACAGAAACTCTAAGAAGAATAATTCTACATCTTTTCAAATTAAAATAACATCTGTACATTATATGGTACTTAGGTACACACAAGCAAAACCCAGGACATACATAAAAATGGCACTAGACAGAAATACATAACTGCAAGCATCACTATTTTCCACCTCCACAGCCAAATAACGATGTAGATAAAACCTCAGATTAACCATTGTGTTACAGAGGTTACAGAGCTTTACTTAAAAAGTGCCTATTAAAAGCATCTTCACTTCCCACATTCACACTTGCTGTATAACAATTTCTCAGTACTGCATCGAACCACCATCAGATTAAAAGCAGGATGAGAAAATGAGAGGAAAGAGGCTTGTTCTGTCCCCACAGCGCTATGGGGATCTCTACTTGTATAAGGCCCATGTTCTCATTACTCTAAGTGCAGTCCCATAGAAACTCAGATCCTTACAGCCGTGCCTCAGGAGCAGTGTGGACCAGGAAAGACACCCAGGAGGAACAAAACAAGAGGAAAGCTTAGCCATAATTCCAGGTATAAGCTCCTTCAAAGCTGACAGAAAATAAAACAAACGAGTAACTAAAGTCTCTCAGGATAGGTTATTAAAGACGCAGCTTATTCATATGCATAGTGTGTTGAATATGTGCATGCTTAATGGAATAAAGACAGAGTAAAGTGGTGCAAGTGTTTCTAAGAGGAGTAGATGCCTGGTGGGTACAACTGTAGCCACAAGAGGTCTTCAGCTCTGTACAAGTCTTTTGACCAGGGAATCAATTAAAGCAAAGGAATATGTAGCATGCTTGGGGGTAAAACGAAAACTGTCACTAGAGAAAAAATAGAGAAAAAAGAAAGTTATCTTGATTTTGTGTTAAACAGTTTATTTTGTATTCTATGAAGAAAGGGAGGTAAATCCTCAAATAAATACAAAAGTAATATTTGTTAAAGGGACAGTATAATAATTTATCATTTTTAGGGCTTGTATCTTTGGAGATGTTATGGCTTTCCTTGGAAAGTTCCACAAGATGGTACCTGCAGGCCACACTGTACAATTAATGTTTGTCAGTGCATCTTTTTTTGCAATAAATACACCTGCAATTGAATAAATGCAAAATATGCTTACTGTGATACTGTGTAACATTTCAGACAAAGAAATACCATTTCCATGAAAACAAGCAGTTGACAGACCCCAATCAAGAAAGTTACATAATGCATCTGCAAAAACAAAGGTGAGCAATGGATAATGGACATCAAATGTGTAAAGATGGGAACTCTTGTGTTTTCTTGTGTAAAAATAAGTGGAAACATGATGCAAAACATGTGTGGTGTGCAAACAGACATGAATTCTATCTTTGCAAAGATAAAAATGATATGCTTTGATGAACTTTAATTTCTGGAGTCCCAGAAGATAAAAAAAAATATGAAAAGATTGAAGAATAATAACAACATAGCGATATCAAACCAACATCCTCTGCATGCTTCAGGGCTGGATGCGAATTATGTATTCTCTGGGGTAGCTTTATCTACTCTATTCGCTTCCACATTCAACATTTTCAGTTGTTATTTTCATTGAGCAATACACAACTTCATTAAAAAAAAAAAGTCGAAACCATTAATGCTAAAAAATGTAATCATATTAAGCCCCCCCCCCTTTTTTAAAAGATACATTCTTACTGTGAGCAGGGTCACCACTTCAGAGATTTGACCAGTAACTTGGCCTGGTCTCTGTGGAGGTACAGATTTAATACCATACTGTGGAGCATTTCAGACAAACCAATAGCATTTCCATAAAAGCAAGCAGATGGCAGACCCTCCACCAGAAAAGTCAAAGATGTATTTGCAAACCACTTGAGATGGCCGACAGTCATTTACTTGTAAAAATAAGCGTTATTCAAAGAGAAGCATTCAAGGGATTTCAGTGCTGTGTGGGTGTATAAATGGTTTATGGGTCTAACAGTCTGGTAGATTGCTGTTTGGCTGTGGCCCAATGTTCTCAAGGCAGCTCCAGTAAAAAGGCCGGGAGGTGAGGAAACACTTAACATAAGAAAATTGAGCAAGGATTCACCTCTCGCCAGAATCAAGCTACTGTTATTGGTGGATTTCAGATGATTTTACAGCACTGTACAGACCAATAATATTTCATATAGATGGGGGGCTAGTCACTAATAGAAATGATGAGGTTCAATTTGTGTGGATTTTTCATTGGATATTTTTTAATGCAAATACCATCAATCAATAGGGAAAACTGGCTCTTATCCTCATCTGAGAGCATGACATCATCTAGAATCTAAAAAACATCTCTTGTAAGAATAGTGAACAGCAAAAAGGGTCATAGGAGACAAAACAGCCAGCAATAAAGCTAATTTGTTGGGGGAAGAGTGTGCTTTTTGTTTTTTTATCTTACCTGACCTTTCAGAGTCCTTTATTGTTGGCTCAAAGGCTAAGCATTTCTTTCTTGTCTCTGTTTTGCAGGAAGATTTCCCAAAAGCTCCTTTTATTGAGACAGAAGGCCACTTTAAAAACAACAATGAACCAATGATCAGCACATGTTTTAATACGTTTTTAACATATGCACACCACACTAGTCTACAAAAAACAATAAGGACATTTGACAGAATGTTTCATGTTTAAGATGACAGCACCAGAACAAGTCACAGGTCAGATCTGTGGAGAGGTGGCCCAAATAACTGTAAAAATACAAAAAATGTTTTCTGATGTTTGAGCAATAAATGCAAGATATATTTGTTTAGCCTGTGGAAGCAAAAACATCTGCATGAGCCAAGCAGGTGGTGGCGGACCCTTTGTATGAAAAGTTACATAATATACCTTTAAAATAATTTACAAATCACTGCACACTGAGAGGCAGATGATACACAATCAAGAACAAAATACTTTGACATGTCCTATTCTGTTAATATGAGCATACCTTTTGTTCTTGTGCTAGCATGTCCTGATATTAACCCATTTCTCTGAAGTCATTACCAATAAGATGTTCAACTGTGCATGTAAATTTGCTTTAGGAGACTTGGGCCATTTTAATTAGCTGCTTTCAGACGGCTGCTTCCTGGAGAGCTGATGAAAGTTGCTAAGTAGGAAGATAATGAATTTTTAAGCCACTGTGTAAATTCCCAGCATTATTCAGTCATAAATAAGTAGACCACGGTTGCAACAGTACAACATGCATTACTACATTATCTATAGGTTCTGAATTTGTTCCTCATATTATGAAGTTTAGATCAAGATAGGCAGCAGGGCAGTTTTCACTTTTTAATTATTTAAAACACAGACAATCTCAGTGAAGGGAAACAAAGAACAAATGCTGTGAAAGGGTTTGGCATTATGTTTTAATTAGATGCTTCTCTCCCACACACAATATGCCAAAATGTTGTATGTGGGTGGATGTTTTGAATATGTAAGTGACACTATTTTCCGCTGGGCAAAATAAACAATGTATGTGGCAACAACACACATATTGAGAAGGATTTGAAAGTGTAGAAATTCTGACAAACCGTTAGACAAAGATGTTACTTAATCTGCAGAGTACATGGTGCCAGTATAACCCTGCGCTGACTCATGAGGCCCTGCACACTGCTTCTATTGTTGGCACGGATTCTGCTATGTAACAGCAGGAGATGGCAATTAAACAGAAATGCCCATAAAAAACCTTCAGGATTAAATACTCCTTGTTCATCATCTTCTTCCACTTACTCTCATTATAGGTTATGGAGACTGGAGTCCATCCCAGCAGCCACTTTGGTCCTGATGTGGGCACGTCCTGGACACTGTGAAGCTGCAGAGTTGACGCAAAAGATGTGTAATCAGCTTCTACCATATTCAATTTACATCAAGATACCAATTAACTGCACTATAATTTTCTGGAGGAGGCTCCATCCCCTTCTTGTCTCCATGGAGATGTTATTGATTTTTGTGGAATGTTCCCAATTATGGTATTAAACATATCTATATCCATAGAGACAAGCAGGCAACATTCCAAAACAGAAATGTGGATAGGCAACCCCGTTTACAGTATTTCATTTTTAAAGCTATAAAAAACATTCACAGTGGTTAAAATTTTTTTTTTTTAAAAGCCTAAATTGATAAGCTAAATACTATACTTTTGATGTAATAAAGGCAAGCAGGTGACTGACCCTCCATATACTGCACCTGAACATGTAGCCTTATGTGGACGGAGGAAAGAAGTCAGAAACAAGAAAGGGAAAAAAAATTACATAATATGCTTCACACATTTGAATTTGTGCTGTGTTAATACAAATAGTTAGACAATGGTATTTATAACATAGCATGGAAAAGAAATAATTGCTTACCAACAGCCTGTCCTTATTTTCAACCAGTGCACGGGACACACTAGTGTGCCTTGAAAAAAGAATACAACTTGAGTTAACAGATTCACATACGGATTAAACAGAATCATTTACCATTTTGCTGTATTCGGGACAACTTCAACACAAAAAGAAAGTTAAAACCAATAAAAACTAAACACGGCGGCATGGACAATCTTATCAAAATTGTGTGATTTAGCAAAATTTTTGTGAAAAAATTAAAAACAATGGCCTCGAACAGGGGCCTATGTAATCAGCCAATTTAGTGTTTTGCTGCACTCTACTGGCGGAAATCGAAAGCACAATGAAAACAGTATGTGAGTTAAATCTAAAACGTTGGGTTGTGTGGGTTTGAGTCAATGTAAAATATCAAATAAATGCATCAACTAATAATAACAAAAAATAATTGCCTGTTATTTATATGGCTCATTTCTGTCAAGTGGACACGTAACATCCGCGTCTCAGTAAACGACTCTCTGATTGGACACGCCTCTCTGCCCCGCCCCCTACGTTCACTGCGTGCGTTTCCCGCGAACTGACCCACGCCGTGGCTAACCTGCTGCTGCTAGGTTATGTTGATGAAGATTAGCTAGACTTTGCATCGAATAAAAAACACAATGTCAAAACAGAGGTCTCTCTTCAGCTTTTTTGGCAAGTCTCCTCCACCAACTGTTGCAAAACCGAAGCCTGCTCCATCTCCTACCGAGGCGGACTTGCCCTCTTCCGTGGAGAAATCCAACTCTTCTCCGAAAGAACAAGCGAAACAGCAGCAGCAACCAACTCCGAAGATCAACAAGATCAAAGCGAAAAGTGATGCCAAAAATGCAAAAAGTGGATTTAACAAACTGTTTGGAGACAAGGCAGTGCCGAGTAAAGAAAGGTGAGTTTGGAAATGCGTTCAGACTGGTACTACACCTACCTGCAGGTTTTTCCCTCCTAGACGAGTATTCCAGTGTTTCCCATTAATAAAGGAGACTCCCTGGTGGCCCCTCCATAGTCATAAAAACCTGGAATATATTAGTATCACAAAATCGCACTTTGGATTATCACAAGATATCATAACATTTGAAAGTTAATTTTACTGGATAAAAGGGGCTGCTTAACACTTCTACACCACAAAATTAGACATTAAATTATTCAATTCAAAATTGGTTGTGCCACTAATTCTTGTTCATGTTGAACCAAAGCTCTACTGTAGCTGTGTGTTGTGCCTGCCCTATATAGCTTCATACTCTTAACTGATGCTCTTTTGATAAGATGCAAAGTACAAACAATTGTCATTATAGACACAATTACATTTATTCACTAACTTGATACCTTATCTACATTAGTTCAGCAATACATGGAAATGTCAAAAACATTTAATGTGTCTACACATTACACTTGTCTACACTTTTTTTTTTTTTTCCCCCAGTACCCCAAAGTTCTCATTTAATGCAGGCTCACTTGTGTGGGCCAAAATGGAGGGGCACCCCTGGTGGCCTTGTATGGTAGTACCACAGCCTTTAACGGGGCAGCAGATGAGAGGAAAGGGCAAGGACCAGCGTGTACATGTCCATTTCTTTGACGAGCCGCCAACTAGAGGATGGGTCAACACAAAATATATCAGAGCATACCAGGGTAATCCTCAACTATCGAATCATGTGATTTTTGTTTCTTTCAAAACACTCTAGAGTTCATTTCCTTGTGTCTTTTAAGGGTCTGACAGCAGTGATGCCAAAATTGGAGGGGTGTTCTTCAGTAACAAACCAGTCATTCGTCGTTCAATGGAGCTTGCGGATGCTGTCATGTTCGACACAGATGAAAAGAGACTAAAGATGCCTATTTGCACTGACCCCTCTGATGACGAAGAGGAGGAAGAGGACATGGAGGTAACAAATTCATTTTCCATCAATAGTTTCTAAACAGTACACAGAAGTAAATTAAAATTAAGTGATGCTATTTTATATTACATTAAATATTAAATGTATTGAAATTTACATCACAAAGAGAAACAAGATCCATACTGGAAACAATATAAATTTACTTTTTGAATAGAAATAGAAATGTTTTGTGCAGTTGAATTTGAGAACCACTGGTGTAGACAATTACTATAGTTGAATATAAGTAATAATGTGTGTTTTTAACAGGTTGACAAATCAACCATAAGTGACGAAGATGCAAGTTTTGAGGAGCAGAAGAGTGAAGAAATTAAGTCTTCTAAAGTCAGCCGTCGTTCTTCTAGAGCAGCGGTGAAAAATGAAAACAAGCCCAAGCGAAGACGCATCATTGTGGCTTCAGACAGTGATGGCTCTGAAGATGAGTTTAAACCAGAGCATGCAGCCAGCAGCAGTGATGATGATGAGGAAGAGCCTGCCATGTCCAGCGAAGAGGAATCGGAAAGCCCGGAGTCCGAACCTGAAAGTCCGATAAAACCAGTAAAGCGCAAACGCCCCGTTGAGAAATCCACTAATGCTAAACCGAAAGCACCCAGTACCCCTGTCTCTGCTCCTAAACGGTCTCCATTGATGGTTGCAGCTGACACTAAGTCCCGCCTCTCTGCTTTCTCTGCTCCAGACAGCTTTGAGTGCCAGGCAAATACAGGAGGAAGTGGCGGCGCCACCGTTTGGGACCATGAGAAATTGGAATGGCTACAGGATGGGCGCAAGAAAGACGGCAAAAGACGTCGACAAAGTGAGGAAGATTATGACCCATCGTCTCTATATGTCCCAGATGACTTTTTAAACCGTCAGACCCCTGGGATGCGAAGGTGGTGGCAGCTCAAAGCAGACATGTACGATACAGTTATTTTCTACAAAGTGGGCAAGTTTTATGAGCTTTACCACATGGATGCTGTTGTAGGGGTCAATGAACTTGGACTTACATTCATGAAAGGCACCTGGGCGCATTCAGGCTTTCCAGAAATAGGTTTTGCGAGATTTTCAGATGTACTCGTTCAAAAAGGCTACAAGGTGGCTAGAGTGGAGCAGACAGAGACTCCAGAAATGATGGAAGCACGCTGCAAGAGCATGTTTAAACCCTCTAAATTTGACAAAGTGGTGAAAAGAGAAGTTTGTAGGATTATCACAAAGGGGACGCAAACCTATAGTGTTCTGGATGGTGCTCCGTCAGAAAGCCAGAGCAAGTTTCTACTGAGTTTGAAGGAAAAGGCTGAGGAGGAGAGCTCGGGCCGCTGCCGTATATATGGAGTGTGTTTTGTGGACACCTCTGTGGGTTTTTTCCACGTGGGACAGTTTGAAGATGACCGCCACTGCTCTCGCCTCCGCACCCTGATCGCTCATTATCCCCCTGCAGAAGTGCTCTTTGAAAAGGGGAACCCCTCGGTGGAAACACGCAAAATCTTTAAAGCCTCTTTGTCAGCTGCTCTCCAGGAGGGACTTAACGCCAGCAGTCAGTTTTGGGATGCTCAGAAAACTCTTAAAACCCTTTCAGAAGAAGATTATTTCAGTGAAAATGCCAACAAAGAAAAGAGTGGTAACAGCCTTCTTCCATCTCTCCTCAAAAACATGACTTCAGCAAGTGACTCCTTATGCCTTACACCTAAAGATGGCTATGAACTGGCACTTTCTGCTCTGGGTGGATGCATTTTCTACTTAAAGAAGTGTCTCGTGGACCAAGAACTGCTGTCTATGGCCAACTTTGAAGAGTATGTCCCTGTCGATGTGGAGTTGGAGAAGTCATGTGGAGCAGCTAGCTTCTTCTCCCAAACACGGCAGCGTATGGTTTTGGATGGAGTAACGCTGGCAAATTTGGAGATATTTCAAAATGGTTCAGGTGGGACAGAGGGCACATTGCTGGAGCGTTTGGATACCTGTTCAACCCCATTTGGCAAAAGGCTTTTAAAACAGTGGTTATGTGCGCCCCTGTGTAATGCCAAGTCTATCCGGGACAGATTGGACGCAGTGGAAGATCTTATGGGAGCTCAAGCCCAGGCGTCAGAAGTGTCAGAGCTGCTCAAAAAATTGCCAGATTTAGAGCGACTTCTCAGTAAAATTCACAGCATCGGCACGCCTCTGAAGGGACAGGAGCATCCCGACTCCAGGGCTGTTCTTTATGAAGAAGTCACCTACAGCAAACGCAAGATCGCAGACTTCCTCTCAGCGCTGGAAGGGTTTAAAACCATGCAAGAGATCATAAATGTGATGTCAGCCATGTCAGGGGATTTTCGATCTGTGTTGCTTTGTCAAGTTGTTACTTTAAAGCATGAAAAGAATGGCATCTTTCCTGATCTCTCAGAGGAACTCAAGCGCTGGGACACGGCATTTGACCACCAAAAAGCACGTACCACTGGAGTCATAACCCCCAAATCTGGCTTTGACCCAGAGTTTGACCAAGCATTAACTGGCATCAAAAACTGCGAAAGAGAACTGCAAGACTATTTAGACAGGCAGAAGAAGAGGCTCGGATGTAAAAATATGTCCTATTGGGGAACGGGCAAAAACCGCTTTCAAATGGAGGTTCCAGACAGTGTTTCAGAGAGGAACATTCCTGAAGAGTATGAGGTGAAATCAACAAAGAAAGGCTGGAAACGCTACGTGACCAAGGAGTCGGAGAAACTGTTTTCTGAGCTGCAGGGATATGAGGAAAAACGGGATGCAGCGCTCAAAGACTGTATGAGGCGCCTCTTCTACAACTTTGACAAAAACTACAAGGACTGGAAGACCGCTGTGGAGTGCATGGCTGTGCTTGGTAAATGCTTTTATTTGAGTTTATTGCAGAGTAATGACTGTAAAGAGTATGTTTTCCTCAAACAGCCTGGAATACATTGGGCTGGTACAAACAAACAAATTTGCACTGCAGGTGTCTGCTCTTGTTTTCATTTCCTGCAGATGTTTCAGTTGCTCACATTTAGCTGTACTAGCACATTGCTCATTGTAAGATTGACATTGGGGTTGTTACATAATTCTAAAACAAATACATTTCTTTGCCTTAGGGAATATTTTTGCAAACTAAATGCATTGCAAAATCTGTTAAAAGTTTAGGCTAAGGTTGCCTGTCAAAATACACCTTGGATAAAAGTAATTACATTTATTTAGTGGTTGCATTGCTGAGCTTTTCTTTTCATTTCTGAATAAACCTCCTTATTGACTGGGGGGTTGTAATTTCAACATTCTCATTAGAAACTATAATTGATACATGTTTTTTACTTTCTTTGTTCACAGATGTGCTTTTAGCCCTGTCCCGCTACAGTCAGGGTGGAGACGGACCAATGGCCAGGCCTGAGGTGGTTCTTCCTGAAGATGATGACGAGTCTGCTCCCTTCATTGATCTGCTGGGTTCTCGTCACCCATGTGTCACAAAGACCTTTTTTGGAGATGACTTCATTCCCAATGACATCCACGTGGGCTGTCCCGGGAGCAGTGACTCCGATGAAGAGAAGAGCGCCGCCTCCTGTGTCCTAGTCACTGGGCCCAACATGGGGGGCAAGTCAACTCTCATGAGACAGGTGGGTCACAGTAAAGCTGAACCATTTTGGAAGTAAATCTAATTTCTATAAGATTTGTGTTTTAAAAGAACGATTCTTGCACAGTGTTGTCTGTCCAGACCAGTGGCATTGAGATGTAAGTAATAGTGCTCAAATTCAAAGGAAAACAAGCAAAGAACATGCTTTTAGTGCAGGGTAGCAGGTGTATACATAAGAACCTATAGAGACACAAAGACATTTAGTTCTTTGCAGGTAACATTGTTAGTTAGGTTAGGTTGCCTTATTCGTACTCATAGGTAAATTTGCTTTGCAGATTTGAGAGGCAGGTTCCACATTTCATATTTCATTCATCCATATTATGTGCAAAAAAAACGGTATAAAAACACAATTACAAAATAAATTCTTTACTTTAAAGAACTGCAGCCTTTCAGATTTGCTAAATGTGACTTAGTGACTCTCCAATTTGATAGCAATCAATCTAGGAGCTCAAAACAGTATGCATCATCCACATCGACATGACAGCTATAATAAATAACAAACATCTTGGCATCTTGGTATACTCTACAACAGTTGAACATTTAGGGGTCATAATATAAAGCTGGATTTGTGTAACTGGTGCTTAGGCCTCTAAACAGATGAGTAATTATAAAACTATTATTCTGTTTAGTGTGGACTTGTGATCATCCTGGCTCAGCTGGGCTGCTACGTTCCCGCCGAGAGCCTTCGCTTCACTCCAGTTGACAGAGTCTTCACTCGTCTCGGAGCTTCAGATCGGATTATGGCTGGTAACACCATAAATCTCTGAAAACTAAATATAATGCACTGATGTTGTTTTCATTAGTAAACCTTACAACATCCTTGCCCTTTCTAGGTGAAAGCACTTTCTTTGTGGAGCTCAGTGAGACAGCCAGTATCCTGCACCATGCTACTAAACACTCGCTTGTGCTTCTGGATGAACTTGGTAAGGTTTGGTTGCTTGATTTCTTGATGCTTTGTTTAGCATTCATAGATTTCAGCTTCATGTTATATGGTGTCATTTTGAGGGCAGATGACAGTCCAACAGACAAAATAGTTTGTTTTGAATTCTTCATTGATATGGCCACAGTCCTAACATTTTATCATTCTTAAATTGGATTCTGTATTATACAATTTTCCCATCTGGTCACTGTAGGAAGAGGCACAGCGACATACGACGGGACAGCCATTGCCAGTGCTGTGGTGAAGGAGCTGGCAGAGAAGATCTGTTGTCGGACCCTGTTCTCTACTCATTATCACTCTTTGGTGGAGGACTATGCCAACAACACTGCAGTCCGCCTGGGACACATGGTGGGTAACTCTTTATCACACTTTACACCCAGGCAATTACTCTCATGTAAAAACTTGAACCCAAAAGTGATACAGTCTACCACAAAGCATTTCATGTCTTTATAATTAATACATTCTTTTTGAATTGATTTATGAATAATTGTGGGATTGACTGCATAACAGATGTTAATTGGCCTTTTCAGTAAACTGACGTAGGTGAGTAAAATTGTCTTGTGTGAAATCTGGTGTTTTGTATTAAAAAGTAATTAAAAAGAATGACAGTAGCTGGACAAAGACCAAATTTACTGTAGTATGAATATCAGACTGTTTATGAAATAATGTATGGTCCATTTTGGTAGGCTTAAAGGTGTACTATATACATTTCTGGAGATATTATTGCTCTGTCGGAAATATTCCACAGTATAGCATTAAACTTGTCCATCTCCAAGGAAACTTTCATTTCATTGCCCTTATACTTTCAGGCATGTATGGTGGAGAATGAATGTGAAGATCCAAGTCAAGAGACTATAACATTCCTGTACAAGTTCATCACTGGGGCCTGTCCAAAGAGCTATGGTTTTAATGCTGCTCGCCTCGCCAACCTGCCTGAAGAGGTGATCCAAATCGGGCACAAGAAAGCCCGAGAGTTTGAGAGGAGCACCATCAGCCTCAGACTCTTCAAGTAAGTACAAAAACTACAAGTTACAGAACTCGCACATCGAACAAGTGCAATAAATATTTATCATAGTTTTACATCAGATTAAGTGTCAATTTGTGGGAAAAATTTGCAAAAATACAGGAAGTAGTAATGAGATCTAAAACAGAATACTCCTACCTATATCATCAATATCAGAAATGCCATTCAAAATCTAGTTTCAAAATAAATTTATCACGACTTTTGTGTTATATAATTGTTTTAGCAGTTTTAGTGAAATTAATTGCCTAATCTGTCATATGCACTTTGAAGGTGAATTTGTTTTGGGTGGTTTCTTATTATACAGAAGACCAAAATTTCATCTTAAGATGTTTTGATGCATTGATATGGACAATCTTACCATTTGTTCTTGTTTTACAGGAAAATCTGCCAGTTTGCCAAGGATCCCACACTGGACAGGACACACTTCGCATCTATTGTTCAAATGATTAACACACTTTAATTATAGGAAAAATAATCATCAACTGTTCAAAATGTTTAGTACTAGAAAAAAAACACTACTGAATTGAGCTAATAAAGTTTATTTTTAAAAAAGGACAATGTTTCATCTAGGAAATTAAACCCTTTTAATTCACACTAGCGCCTACATAACGGTTATTGAATACTTCACAATATATTAAGTCTAGATGTTATGATACATGCATACATTTCAGTCTGTATGAGAACCCACAATCACCAGTACACATGGATGGGGGATAATGAAACCATATAGGGCTGTATATAGACACTTGTCTCAGCTTCAGTAGAGTCAAAGCCTCTCACTTCTCCAGACATGTTGGCCATAGAGAACACACAAAGTGATGCTTTCACAAGACTTGTCCTCTTTACAAAACAATACTCACTTTCCATTGATAAATAACCCAGCTATAAAAAGATGTGTATAATTCTCTTGATGAGGAATCAAGGACAACTTGTAATACCAAAATACAATATACAGTTACAAAAGGCAAAAGATAAAAACTTTATTTGGTGATGAGCAGCTTGACATTTGAAAATGTCTTACACTTGGCAAGCGGCTACAACACAAGCTACATCCTAAAATAATACAAAATAAATATAGGCCCTTTAAACAAAATTATGCATAGAATAAGTTCAAACCCATATTTGTAAGAACAAATGTGACCAATGCATTTGTGGGCAAGTCTGGTGAAAGCACAGTTCAGCATCAGCACGTTACTGTATTGCAAATGTAGTCAACATGGCTGGAGAAAATGTTTAGTGTTTTCCTCTCTTTTCTGGTCTCTTTCACAGAAAGAAGTTAGATACTGTGACATGAGTATAATTACAGCAATTCTAGGGTATAATAACCAAAAAATTAAACACATTTAATAAAATAAAGACATTCAAGTACAGTAAGATTTTTGCATGAAAATACAAAACTACACAAAGCAATAAAATCAAATCTCAACAGTTGTCTTGAGGAAAAAAGCTGAAGTGCTAGGTCATTTTCCCGTACGTGGATTAGGAGCACGTCGCAGCTCACGTTGGAAGCATTGCTAAACTGGGGCCGCTGCTCCGTGAGAGAGTTCCTGTTTGCTCTGGGCCTGTACATCACTGCAGTGTTCATCCACCTCCTCAAGACGGATGACTCTTGGCGTTTTTTCACTTGACCATTTGAACACACCCACAGTGCCTGAGTCAGCTGCTCCTGTCCTCTGTCGTCATCTTTTTTTATCGAATAGTTGAAGAAAAAAAAAGCGAGGCATCCATTATCAGGTTTTTTTTCCTTTAAGCATGTCATTTGAAAGTCTCGAGTAATCTTTGTCAAAGTGAATGCATTTAAAGTTTCCTGGTGCCACTGCAGAAGGTAAAGTGTCTGGAGCACATACTGCCCATGGGTCTGGAGCTCAGTTGTGCTGCAGTGTATTGGACTCTATAGGAGGAGCTGAGTCATACAGAGTGTCCGTGTCATGAGTGGGCTCCCCGGCTAACGTGCAAGGATTCGACAGTGTCCCGGCACCACAGTCACAGAAGAATCTGCAGCACAAACAATGAGAGCCATATGAGAGATAGTCTACTACAACAAAATGAAGAGCCAATGTATTCTAGTTGTTAAGCAATGAGAAATGCATTATGATTTTCAAGAATATAAATTGCCCATGGATTCCAATCATATATAGCCTTCATGAAACCTTTATGAAAGCTCCAGTTCATGATTTTCAAACTATAAAAGGAGGTAGTAGGTTGTTAAAATCTAATCTATGCTGAGTCAATCCTAGTGTCGCTACTGCCATTTCTTAAGGGTTTGAGGTTTATCAAATATAAATGGATACAGACGGCATGGAGCAGTGGTATTTTATTTACCAGCAAGTGTTGCTTTTAGAATGTAAAATGAAAAACTAAATTTTCAGGTACCCCACCTTTAACTCAAATTACTCCTCAATTTGGCAGCATTATAGTCTTAGTATTAATTTTGATGTAGTTTAGTACTTGCAAAGACTCACAAACCCAACAAAACGTGCAAGTATATACTGGTGTATTGACTGACCTATCATGTCTGATGAACTCCACATCGTGTCCTTGATGACACTTCTTGATGCAGTTCACACAGATGGCGTTGCGGTCTGTTGTGTTACAGGTGTGACACCTTTGGAGAGGCCAGACAACAACATTAAACACTGGACACACACGACTCATTAATCTGGAGATTATCTGGCGCTGTACCTGTAAAAATCGTGCATTGGGTAGCTGGTGTAGCTTGAAATTTTGTAGAGGCACTGACCTCTGCTAACAGCCTTCTCAATGGCATCTTGATTGTTCAATATTTTGTTATCTTGGGAGAGCAAAAAATTACAGTAATTAAAATGTAAAATAACTAAATAAACCTTAAAAGTGATTAATCACTGTATGTACCTTTCATTGTAACGTTGACACCAGATGCAAGAAACAACCCTCCAAATCGATTGTTGAAGATCTGATTGCCTTCTAG